GGGGTGATGAAACATATGGCTACGTCGTTTACGGTCACATCGAAAGCGCATGATGCGAGGCAGACCCACCCCACCCGACTACCTTTACGGAGGAGGAGGAAAATAACGTTCCACATAGAGGTACTAAGAGCCACCACTGCAGCACTGTAAAGATATGGTCGTGAGTTATATAATATTCTAATAAAAGAAACTGCTTACAAGCAAGTTCGCTTCGCCAGAGAGCGCAGTTTCGGATTGGAAAGCTTGTGACGAAGGAGGGGCCACGCAAAGAGGGTGGTCATGAATACATTGAGAAAGGTGTCATACACGAGCAATGTAATAGATGCCACTTCTCCGAGACCGATTAGGCAGGCACCATCCGAGCGGATGTATCCAACCTTGGCTATAATGAACATTGTAAATAACAACATCCTACTTGGAGAATATAAGCGAGGAGTTGATGCTCACAGATAAGCATGAGTACAAAAACAACGACGTAACCCAAGAGCACCACCCCGCAGAGCATCCATATCTTGGATTTTCTCCTACTGACTGGGTTATTCGCACTCCAAACGATATAAACCTGTGACCAGACGAGTTGTGAGCAAGCACAATTTGAATGGGGATGAACAAATGGTTACGGGGTTGAGGAATTTCGTCACAAGGTGTAGTTGTATCGAAAGGTAGATGGAGAGTGGAATGGTAGGACAAAAGCGAAAGAGGAAAGAGGCGTATGTAGGTATGACAAGAGACGTACCCTATCTGCGAGAAAAAGGTAGGTGAGGACTTTGCTAGAGCCATAGCTACGGTCATCTCATCAGCCAAGTGCCCAAAATGACGGACTGGATGTAGAAGAGAACAGTGGAGGATGCGGTAAGACGTACAATGAGATGCACAAGTAGATTCCAGTGAGACAGGCTCCTGGACGCAGAGACATTCCTATACCGGTCGCAACCAGACCACCCCAGAAGACGAACACCCATCTAAATTTAGAGGGCGGAACGGTCAGGACTTGGATAAATGACAGGAAAGGGCGACTGGTATACGTACGAATCAAGAAAGATAGCGAGTGCGCAGAGCCTATTATATTTCATAAAGAAATCAGATTATCGGCCCTGCCCCTTGTATGCAACGTACTTGTTCAGTGTTAGATGCTTCCATGTAAACCTACGAGCAAAGCATAATGCGATGATAGAACACGCTGGATGATGCATCAGCTCGCATATATCGATGGTGATTGTGGTTGTTACTTGCCCAATAGATGCACCGCACTAGAAGCGGGGTGATATTCAAGGGAGGGGGAGAAAGTGGTGGAGGCCGACGCCATGTCCTATTTTATGCTCCTTGTACTATTTTATTCTACACGTCACTCAGAGTCGCGATGGGAGGGACAAAGAGCGTTCAAACTTGGGGAGTAGAGGTACTGAAAGAGGGAAAGACGAGGCAGGAGTGAGGGTGAAGGAGGTTGATATAAACGCCAACTACAAAAGAAACTGGTAAAAGGGCAATATGGTCAAACTGGATATGTTATTCAGTATTGACCGGGAAAGTAGGCGTCACCCAGTCTGGAGGCATCAGCCGAGACTTTCGGAGGCGACAATCTGGAGAGCCAGACCCTACGTATCATCATTCCCATTAGTAGTAACAATTTATCAGTCTAGCTGAATCTGATGACTGCCAGATTGCTGTGATCCTGATTATTACGGGTCGCGTGGCGTCAGGGAAAACCGTGTATATACGGACGTTAATGATAATTAGAAAGGCGTTTATTATGCAATTCTCTTATCCTCTGGTCTTGCTGGTTGGTGCGCCTGTTGATTGCCGTCGAGAGAACTGAGAGGATATCATGGGTCAAGATACTATGGGTACGTGTGACGCGACGGACAAGACCAGAAGTCAAAGGAACAAGATATTCAATTATGATATGCATTCTAACCCGCTTCATTACCAGTGCTAATGTCTTCTGCATATCGCTATTTTTATTGACGAGCTTACTAGACAAAGATAGACTGGTTTGTATTCGGTCCCGACCGAGCTCGTTCTCCAGGTGGAATCCACCTCATCGCGTAGACGACACACGAAGGTAGTCGGCTAAAATGTTTACTGAGAAAGGAGGGGGATATCGTGAGGAAACTCAAACATCTCGACTTGCGAGGGGGTATAGGATAAGAGCAAAGTAACGAAGTACAACCAGTTAGAGAATGTAATGACGTGCCTCAAAGTAGAAGAAATCGTATATGGTTGATCGAGTAAAGAGAAAAGAAAGTGACTTGGGTATTCTGAGGAGAAATGTGGTTAATTGTGGACATCCACGGTCCATAGTATTTGTTATATGGTACAAAATTGTGAGTATCGAGGAATGAAAGGTGCCAAGTCGAATCGCCAGTCGGTAGTAGAACCATCGCAATTCCGGGGTTGTGCATAAAATGATGATAGCTTGAGAAGAACAGGAGCATGTGCCGCTTCATTTACGACCTCTTGTTATTCCATATCCTCGAAAAAAGTGGTTGGGAGTATCACCTTCTTCCGTAATGGCAAATGAAGCATGCTGTTCGGACATATCCAAGGTGGACGCTTGCCGATGACCAGGAGCCCCATCTGACCATTTTCGTTGATGGTGATGGCCGTGAGGAGAAGAAGCAGCACCGAGCGCCAGATCCTCGCTCTCGCGACCTGGCTGCTCCTCATCCATGACGTCTAATGGATTCCGGAATTCAATCTTTGTTCCAGTCGCGTCAAATTCATTCGTTGATGTCGTCGAATCGAAGGTGCTCGTGTCACGAAGGATGGGAATGACTTTCACGGCCTTCTGGCTGGCCTTTCCACATCGCCGGCTAGTGTCCGTACACCGCAGGCAGACATGTTCTGGACCTTTTCCCTTGCCATTGGATGAAGATCCGGACGAGTCCTTTGTCCCGGTGCAGCCTTGGTCTGAAGGAGGCGACATACTCTCCTCCCCTGAGACACATTGAATATCCACGGCAAATTTTCCCCCATCTTCACCTGAAGAGACCGTAATCTCTCCTCTCGTCATCACGCCTGCAGGGTCATCCCGCGTGACTGCAAAGTTTCCAATTTTCGAGAGAGAAAAGGGCCTACTGGTACCCTGCGTCTCAAAACGAGCAGAGTGTCTCCTGGGCTTGTGGGTAGGGAGTATAGATTTGTCCTCGTTCCGACAAGCAAAGGGGCTCAGCCCCTTGAAGGAGATGAGGCAGCACTTGCGGGGAGATGCCGATTCTGAGGGACAGTTGCGCTCTCTCATTTGGTCCCGAGATGGCGTATGATCAACAGCACAAGGGCGAGGAGGTAAAGGAGAGGTGATGGCCTCTGTCGTAGGCACAAAGCGGTTTGGGATTCTGGTAGGAGTGTCGGAATGGTCGGGGCTTTGTGGACCTTGAGTAATGAAGCAGATGGCCATAGCATTTACAGTCACATCAAATGCGCATATCGCAAGGCAAAGCCACCCTTCTCGACCGCCATTACGGACAAGAAGGTGAATTACGTTGAAAAGGGAGATGCTAAGAGACACTGTTGCGGCACTGTACAGGCATAGTTGTCAGTTTTCTGATATTCCAAAGGAGTTATCCTTGAGGAGGAAAGTACTTACAAGCAGGTCCGCTTCGCCAAACTGCGCAATTTCGGACTGGAAAGTTTGCGACGAAGAATCGGCCATACGAAGAGGGCAGTCATGAATATGTTGAGAAAGCAGTCATATACGAGCAGTGGAATAGTTGCCACGTCTCCGAGACCGATTATACAAGTACCATCCTCGCGGATGTATCCAATCTTGGCTAAATTGAACCTTGTAAATAACAGCCTACCCCGAGACACGAATAGAGACACCACTCACCAATGATCATGAGTACAAAGATAACGATGTATCCCAAGAGTACCACCCCACAGAGTATCCAGACCTTAGATTTTCTCCTACTGACTGGATTATCCGCACTCCAAACGATATAGACCTGTGAATGGATAAACCATGAGTAAATCTTCTTTGAAGGATGTGAACCAAAGGTTGCAAGACTGGAGATCGACCCCAACTTGTGATTGTGTTGAAGGGTACATGGAAATGGAAGGGTCATAATGACCACGGTAGTTTTTATAGTTGTGACGAAAACCTTACCCTATCTGAGAAGAAAATGTAGGTAAGGACCTTGCTGAAGCCATAGCTACAGTGGTCTCATCAGCCACATGATCAAATAACAAGCTGAGGTAGAATAAAGAAGATAGATAAGACGCACAATGAAATGCATAGGTAGATTCCAGTCAGACAAGCCTTTGGATTCAGAGACATGCCTATACCGTTCGCGACTAGACCGCCCCAAAAGACAAACACCCATCTATAGAACAGTCAGGGAGGGGTCATTGGACAGAGAAAGGCTACACGCACGAATGAAGAAAGATGCCAAGCGCACAGAGCCTATAATGAAGATCAGTTCGTTGCACTGTGCTTCTTGCATGCAACGTACTTGCTCAGAGTCAGATGCTTCCAGGTTAACCTGATAGCAAAGCAGAATGCGAGGATAGAGCACGCTGCAGAACGGTTCAGCTCTCGTGTCTTGATACTGTTAGTATTGGTACTTGCCCAATAGATGTACGACGCTAGAAGCGACATGGTATTCAACTGGACGAGTGGTGGCCATGACCTGCTCTATAATCCCTTTACTAAGAAATTATACGGTGGTAATAAAGGAGATAAAGGAACGTTCAGAGTGGGAAGATGGGTGGAGAAACCAGGGGATGGGGAATCGGTTTCCACGTTGGGTGTATAAATACTATGCTAAGGATGATGAGCACCGTTTATATTGATTGTGTGGACATTTTATATCGATATGTAATGTTATCAATTGAGGAGTGGCTTGAGGGATAAGGCGAAGGCTTCGGTAGGGGTCTGACAGGCAATTAGACCCCATTCTATCCTCGTCACGCACATTCCAGAACGGACATGTCACCTCCTCTGAATGCTCACACTACATAAAACTTGTGTATTGATGCCTTTACTCGCACCTTTTGGAGCCACTGCTCGCTACCAGTATTTGTATATAGGCCGTATGTGAGTTGGCGATGACGAAAACGATGCGGGGAATCATTATTCGACTCTTGTAGGTTAGATGATATACATTACGACTCCGTAATGTCTGGAAAAACTATAACCCTGGCGATGTGGTGCATACCACCGTGTCGGACCATTTGCCTGTAAGAGCCTATAAGCTCGCGGTGTACCTATTCAGTAATAGAATTAGACTCCGGAGATGACAAATCATGTTTACATACTGGTTAACTGACCGCATCAACATATCCTCGTTATTTGATCCAAACCTCCAGCCCAGAACTGACAAAGTTCAGATACGGACGAGGACAGGGCTTGATTTTGTGCAATAAAAGAAGGTTTTAATCTATCAAGCTATCGGAAAAGGCCCGAGGAGCCCAGGCGACAGCAAGTATCCTCCACCTTCAGGCCGGGTATGCAGACATGCCAAATTCGCAGTATGCCATGCTCTTTCCGATCTTCTGTTCCATGAACCGGTACTAGTTTACCTCCGGAGGACTATACCAGGCTCTCATAACCATGGACATTGACAGCCGGTGCCACCGCGTTTTTTAATTTGTCGAAAGCGTTTCGTGGCGTTGTCGAGAAATTAGGCATCTTGTCCCGATTGATGGTGTCATCAAGGAAAGCAAGCGTGATAGAGACTTGATCTCTTGAGTTTAGGGAGGTTCAGGGATGGGTCCGTCATTAAGTGGCACACCTCCCACCCGCACCGTTGCCATTTCTTTACCTTTAGCCTATTGTCCTGATCTAACTTTCGACACAATCTATGACGGCTAGAGCCCATCGTAGATCGTACCTTGGGACATGCACCTCTCGTAGACTAGTTTAGCGCGTAAAAGAGAGATAATTTTTGTAAGAAGCATATCTCCTATAAGCATAGAGAATAATAGAGACTGGTCTAGTATTAGCAGTGTCGTATCCAAACCGAAAGAATACAAAGTTACACATGACACGAAAGAGAAGAGCGGGCTAACATATCCGACTTCTACACGCCAGATACCGCCGCTCGAGAAAAAGTGAAAAAAGGGTGTCATGATTTGTGTGAAGACGAGCCTGTGAGCACGCTTGGATCGAGGTATCCCATCAAATAGAGTTGTACGATCACGGCAATGAGAATGACGATGAGGAAGATGCTCGACGTAATCGGTCCTGCACCAAACATCAGTTATACATCAGATAAAAGGAGACATGTTACTCACGTTTTCGTTCAAACTTTTCGGGGAGGGTGATAACGCGCACTGAACTGTCGGCACTGGCCGAGATGAGGAATCGGCGGTTGGGACTGAACCGGAGACCAGTCGATGGGAATTCGTGTGCTCCCAATACATTGAACAGGAGCTAAAAGGGTGTCAGACGAGTGTAAAAGAGGTTTATAAAAGAGGTACTCGCCGCCATGTCTTTTGCGTCCAGAATTCCGATCGAACAGTCGGACGCTCCATAAGCTAGGTACATTCCATCCGCACTACCGACATATGAGATATTCGGATCATTCCAACTCACAAACTGACGCACCTAATGTCAAAGCTGGTAATGGATCCATCTCCAATCTTGCGCTGAGCAATCACAGGCCAACTCTTCAAATGGGGCGTCCACCCATACTTGACAATATACGACTTGCGAGACCGCTTACCCGTCGTACTCGTCGTATTCAACACGGCGTACAGAATGGAGAAATCCTTGGGGTGAAATCTGACACCAAATCAGCTCCAACAACGAATAATAGTATAGTAAACCCGGACGCACCTGACGGCTCGGAAGGACGACACATCCTTGCCCTGACTCCTAATTTTAGGCCGAATAAGCGTGGTCGCCAACTCGAGCGACTCCAACTGTTGCTCCTCCACATCTCCATTCTCTCCTTCTCCACCCATACTGCCCTTCTTTCCTCCCTTTTTCTTCTTGTTCTTCTTTTCCACGGCAGCATTTTTCGCTTTGAGCATGTTTTCCGCGGGCTGCTTGTCTTCATGGAGATTGTGTATGAAAATGTTGGTAGAGGATGCGATGGCGACCTATACATGACACATTAGAAATAAAAGTGAGAAATAAGAGTGGCCTACCCGGGTGGCGGAAAAGGTGACGTCGAATAGATCGCCCGCAGACATTTCCAATGTTGGGGCTGCCCTATTTAACGAGGGATAGTGTAACAAGTGGAGCTGAGAATTCATTAGAAGGAGATATGATACGAACGGACAGACGCACCTCGTTTGTCGAAGATCCTACAGCAAGGATATCGTTCGACGGGGACAGGACTGTCACTTTTTGGTATGCGTCACCGGTAATGTCGTTGATCGCTTTAACGCTTTTGACATGTGTAATTCTATCACAGCAATGAGCGATATGGAGCGTCATTGTAGGGAGGAGGAGCGCACCTGTCGCCTTTGACACTGAGCATTCGACAATGCATGTTTTCTCTTCTCGCCATCATTTCGAGAGAAGCATTAGCTCCACATACCACCGTCTCGGTCTACTCCACGAAAGAAGGGTGAGCGAGGTGAAATGAGGATGGGTGAAAAGGATTAGACTGACGGTTGGATCATAGGCCATGCTCATGGGTGCATCCGCACCCGCTTCCAGTTCGTATTCATTGACCAAGTTTAATTTGTCTGTACCCACATCGTACAATCTCTATTCCCAAGTCAGCCAACCTATCTATACACCATGAAACGTGGAGTAACGTCAAGCGTGGCAAGCAACACTACTCACCAATTTGTTTTTGACACCTGACCTTCCTTGTCCACCACCTCCGCCCAAGACGACCTTGTCGTCAGAGAGAAAAGCGAGCGAGTAGATGGGGAAGCCGTCCAGGGTGTACGTATTATGTTGCGTGCGCATCTCGTTCAAACACTCTCCAAATTGCAAGAATCCTGTAGAATGGTATCGTGTAGTTGTTGGTGGTGGTGTTGGAGAGACAGGGATGCAGGTGCGGGTGCGTGCCGTGCGTTATGGTTGGATGGCCAAACGTGCAACCTCGTAGGACCAGCGATGCACTACCGGGCTTGCTGGGTTTAAATAAAGTGGTAGAAGAGTTGTTGGAGAAGGTGATGGAAGGATACACGTAGATGGTCGAGGTCCAAATAGTCTGAAATTTTGTTGTGACGTGTTTTTCAATGCCCGTCACCCCCATCGTCTCTTGGACACGACCATTACGCCAGACACAAACTGCAGTAAAATGAGGAATAATGGCAAGAATAGTTTACGAATATTTCGAGTGTTCTAAATGAGGAGGACTGGAGTCTAGAATGCCGTGGATCGGTGCCATCGTCGAATAGAGACATCAAGGCTCGTTGAATTTCCGCACTCTACCAAGCCCAGCGACTCGCAGTCGAAATGTCGTGGGATTTGTACGGGTCGCCATATGGACAATTCGATATGAGCGCGGCGCCGACGCAGACGGAGAACTCAGCTCACCAAGAGAACCCAGGAGTAAGCGAGAATAACCAGTGTTATACTTATCCCTGGTGAGCGTTAATTCTGTCGTTACAATTCTTTGTAATTGCTTACAAGTATCGGCAGTTTCCTGAGGAGCGCTCGATCACAAGCCATTCAATCCGCCCCGCCTTTTGTCCACTCTCGAATGAGCTGCGCGTGACTGCCCACCGCTATAAAAGCCACTCTTCTCTCTTTCTCTCTCACCACCACTCCCCC